TATTATGAGGAGACAACAAATGCAACAATTGCTTTAAGACAACCTCATCAAAGCTCAAGAGAGGATGAAACTCTATTCTGATCTACATAGGACTGAGAGAGTGTTTCAGGAAGGGGATTTGGTGTTTCTGAAGTTGCAACCCTACAGACAGACGTCATTGGCTCTATGGAAGAACTTGAAGTTAAGCTGTAAGTGTTATGGTCCTTTTAAGGTTCTGTAGAGAATTGGAAATGTTGCTTACAAACTAGAATTGCCACTATTTCCAAGATTCATCCTGTATTCCATGTGTCCTTACTTAAGAAGGCAGTGGGAAATAGAATATTGGTTCAGACTTGTTTTCCCTGTTCTGGTGATGATGGTCAATTCCTAGTTACTCCAGTTAACATTTTGTAGAGACATATGGTGCGCAATGGAAATGTTGTTGCTGTCAAGATCCTGGTTCAATGGTCCAACCTTCCACCAGAAGATGCAACATGGGAGGATTACAACTATATTAAGGCTCAATTTCCTGATTTTAATCCTTGAGGACAAGGATGTTTTCAAGGCCAAGGGTATGTTATGAACTGAAGGTTATAGGGTAAATAAAAGAAGTCGAGGGAGTGAATAGTAATAACAAGATTTAAAATAAAGGGCCAGGATCTATTATAGTTTAATGAGGCTCAATGGCTGAGATGAGTTTGATGGTTATAAATAACAGAATTGGCAGATGACAGAGGCATCGAGAAATCCGGTAACAATTTCCTTCTCTCCTTCACTCTTCTCTTCTCTTCTATCTTCATCCTTATTCTTCTTCTAAATTCTCTTCATCTTCCCTTTTATCTGCAGGTTTGAACTATCAATGGAGAACCAACTATTCGTTTCTATGTTTTTCAATTTCATTTAGTTGTAATCGTATTTTCCATTCTTATAAATCAGAAAACTGTCCCACAAAACTCTTGTTATTACTATTCTGCTTCCTTTTCCTAACTGTTTCAAGTATTCTAGTCATAACAATGTCAGAGCCGCACCAAGTCACCTCTCCACTGATGGCTTTGGAAATGGAAGAAAGCTCGAAAAAACCATAAGGTTCAAGCTTTGTTCGATGGATTCCGCCATTAAATGCCTCCAAAACGTCTCCATCTCTTCAAATCAATCTAGTAGCAGGTAACCCATCCCTTTGTCAGCTTTTTTTTTTTTTTTTTGAAATTTTGAAATCTCAAAATCTTGGAGAAGATTTCCCTCCTCTCCCTGAAAGGGATCAACCTTCTCGGCTATAAATATTGGCACTAGTTGCCATTGATAGGGGGATATATTGAGGGGTTAGAGACAGTGAAAAAAAATAGAAAACGAACTGCTATTTACATTGGGGCGTTAGTGTTCAAACAAAAATTCCGAGATCACCTGTTTGAAATCCAAGTTTCCGTCGGAATCTTTCGAGGTTGGTGGTGGAAGCTTCATAGTTAAGCTCGTAATTCCAGTTCGCTGACCCCGGAAAGGTAACTTCATTTTGACCTTAACTTGTTTTAGCTGGCATTTTGTTTGTAATCAGAAGTTTACTGTTGACTCTTGTTCTTCCTCGCTCGAATGCTTCTTTTCTTCTTTGGTTTACTGTTGACGCTTAGGGATTGGTCGTTTTGGTTCGAGTTGATATATTTTAGTTGTTGAGGCATAGAACATGTCTTTGGGTGTGATTTATGCCTAGAATGCCTTTGATTAAGAGTTTGTTTTTTCCTTTTGATTATAATGTCCAAAGTTTGTTTCCTTCATGTTCTTTGTCCTCGTTCAGTTGATATTTGTTAGGATGGCTGGAATGATGTCTTTTGTTGTTTGTTCGATTCCTATGTCTACTCGTACTCTGCATTTCGAGTGTAATGGTTAGTAGTTTTAAGTCTTCTTTGCGGGTTATTGAAAGTTTTAACTTGATTGAGATTGTTGTTCATCCTTTGAGCATCTTTAAAGCTTTCGAATGGATTAATGGGTCTGCTAGTCTTAGTTCTATGAATGTTGCTTTGGTATGTCCTGTTTCTGTTCTTTACTTCCTTGAGTTTTCGAAAATGTAGCTGGTTCTTCCTTGTAGCCTCTTTTCGGTTTTCAGCATATCGATATTTGTTATTGTTGTTTTTCTTTTACAAAATAGAGGCAGAATCTTAACTAACTAATATGAAGGATGCGTATTTAGGCTTAGCTAATGTGTGAAATCTCTTAATCTCCGTGGCGGATGGAGTTTTGTTCTGCTTACCTTGTCTTGACATAAATAGTCTAGGTGTGAGTGTGTTAAATGGTGCAGCATTTCAAGCTTTTTAAAAAGACTCTTTGCTCACTGTTTGGTTCAATTATCTCATCATGAAATATCGATATTCTCTTCTATGTTGATGCCTCCTATAGTTGTTTGTACGTTAAGTAGTTTACTGGAAATTGTTTGCCCAACACTTTGAATGAAATGTTCCTTTGTTCATGCTAACTTTTTTCCTCGGTTTGTATCAAATATATGGTTAAATTATAGCATTAAGTGTCAATTAAGGTTTCTTGGATCAGATTTGCATAATGGTCTTTAGATTCTCTTTATATATTTTTGTCTTAATAAAACTAGCTTTCACGTTGTGCAAGAAACTTCCTTTTGGTGATTTCTGTTAGGCTTACTATTATTCTTAAATCTGAGATGAAGCATGGCTGCTTAAATTTTTTTAGTGGTCAATGATTTAAGTTCTATATTGTTGTGATATTATATGTTGTCGATTTACTGAAGTATATGGTTTGTTAACTCCCTTTTTCCTTCATACCATACATGTGACATCGAGTCTACCGGACTCCAATTTTGCCTCCTTGCATCTCTCTTATTTTCTGGGATGAACCCAACAACTCTCCAAGTCAGCCCCCATGCCAAATGTCACGAAAGGGAAGTACAAATACAGGTCGCGAAAGCTAAAACACAGGTTCAAGGAGCTGATATACAGCTATATATGAGGGTGGAAATGGGCCCATAGCCCAGAAATACATCAACAACAGCTCACTTTTGGACAACCATGAATTTAGGCCAAAAGGGCTCAAATTCAACTCTCTTTTTGACTCTTACGTTATTCAATTATGATTATTCATTTGTTATTTTTATGTAACTCTAACTTTAGAATTTTTAATTAACTTAATTGAAATTTCCAAAAGATGAACCATTTTCTTTGTGTTGATTAATTTTAATGAATTTCATTTTATTGATGCCTCATACAAACATAAAATTCTTTGTGTTGATTAATTTTAATGAATTTCATTTTATTAATTTTGTGTTCTTTATTTACTTGATCAAATATTTTTAGTTAAAAATTTCACTTGCCTACAACTATTTAAGATAGTTTCTTGATTTAATTGACCAAATTGGTTTAAGTTATAATCCTTAAAATGATCCAAATAAATTCTTACATAATTTTTATTTTAAAAAAAAAGTCTAAATTTTTATCTCGTCTTTAAAGTGTTAATCTCAAAGTTTTTTTTTTTTTTTTTTTGAAATGCTAGTCTTAATCTATTTTTTTTTTAGAAGTTTTGATCACTTTCAATTTATTTCAAATTATTAAATTAGTTTCATTTTCCTTAAAAACCACAAATATTCTTGTGTGCACTTAATTATCTTTTCTCATAAAATAGTCATATATTTTTAGTCAAGTCATTGGATAAACGTGTGTTAGCAGCTACTTTAAATACTAATACTTTCTTAAAGTAGAAATAAGGACCTCTTACCCATTTTCTTTAAATTTTTAAAGGATTATCTGTTAAGGCCTTTTTAAATTAAGTTTTCTTAATTTCCTTAAAACTTAAGTGGCGACTCTTTTTTAAGTATTTTTCTCAAATTGTTTTATACTTGGAACATTTCAAAAAGTGTTTTTGCTAAAGATAGTAAAACTACGACATAACAAACAGGCACTTCGTTGAGATAACTCTGCTCTCCAATTAGCTTTTGGTGAGCCTCCTTGCATTCTGAAGGACTCCACTTTTCATTTCAGTTTAGTCATTTTAGGGTGTCGTGGGTCTTGTCCAGACATCCATGTTGAACTATAGAGTCTTCATAGATAGAAAGAGTTGAGGAGTCTCTCAATACTTTCTTTAATTTTGAGATGTTTTGCAAACTATTATTATTGCATTGAGTATTTTTCAGACGGTATGAATTGAGCATTTTACAATTTTATGATTTACTTATGTTTAAGGCCTTTAAATGCTTGAGTCAGTCTTCTGCTAAGTAGTTAGCCAGATCAAGGGTTTGCTGGGAAATCAACAATGGTTCTCGAGTGCCGGCCACATCCGGGGTGTAAGCTTGAGGCATGACTAACCATCCACTCGTATATCACTTGTATTCATTTGCATGCAAAAAAGTATCAAAAAGATGAAGCAAAAAGGCTAAAAAGGAGAAAATCATATAATTGCACAAAACAAAATATAAGAAAAAGGTCTAGAGAGAGAGACAAAATATTCAATGGATATAAATACGCAAAATAAAATACAAGAAAAATAGGCTATAGAGAGAAAAAGAGAGGAAAAGAGAGAGAAAATATATAAATGTTATAACATACAAAATAAAATACAAGGAAAGAAGACTCATAGACCTTTAATTTAATAGTTTATGAGACACCTAAAACGGCTACTTTATTATCCAAAAAAAAAAACGTCTCTTCGGATATAGATTCTTCCATACCGAATGCCATGCCCCGAGCCTACGCCCTGGACTCGTTGTTGACACCCAATTTTGGGCCTCCACAATAGATTAATCACCAAACTTCTTTTATTTCAAACGATTTGAAATAATTAGCTTTATAAAATTCAAAATATTTTCCAAATTATATTTTAGTAATTTTTTGTCATTTTAAATAATTTTTAAATAATATATACGTTTTTATATAATTATGTATACAATTCATGAATATTCAACAATCGTAATAAAAAGATTTTAATTTAATTAAAATATTTTGTTAATTAGTTTAGTTAATCAATTTTTTATTTTTTTTTACATCAATCTTAATTAAAGTAAAAACACCAAGAGAAACAAAAGTTAAGTATGTTTCCAAATTGAAATTGGAAAATTCAGAGCTACTTCTTCATTTTGCTAGCAAGCTTTTCAAGCTTCAATGCATCGATCCATTTCCTCCATTTAGCTAAGGTATAATTTTTGTATTCTCCTTCCAGCTTCTTGATAATTTCCCTGTTTTCCTGTTCATCTTCCCATTTTCTCCTTCTTCTTGTTTTGTTCCTCAAAGATCTCTTGTATGTGTGTTTTCTTGGTGCCCAGATCTGGTGGTGGCTTTTGTTGAAAGCGGTGGTCTCTATTCTAATTTGGTCCTGTCATGTGTTTGCGCTTAAGGTCGGTATTCTCTTTTTTCTCCTATTTATCTCATAGATTTGTGTCCACATTTTGCTCATATGCTTGTTATTCTTGAATTTGTTGCACCTAATCGAGTTGTATCATTCTTGAACGGTCACTTTTTTCTGACTTCTATTTGGGAGCTACTGGTATTCTTCATACTTTAACGGTTTTCCATTGAATTTTGAGCATTGGGTTGAGCTTCCGAAGATGCTGATACCACCACTGTCCAAATTTCAACGTATCCAGAATAGTTTCAAGATGTGCATACCTTTCTTGTTTTCCCAATTTTGTCGTCTGGAAATCTTCCGCTGCAACATATTTATGCCTCATTTGTATAATTTTTTCTTGATGTTTATTCACAGTTGGTTGAGTTTTTGCATAGATAGACAGATGATCTTTGTAAACAAATTCTTCATATTTCTCCTCTTTTTGGACTTGAATTTGAAGAACTTTTTTTTCCCTTTGTTATTCATCTTCATCGATTTCTTAGTTATCACTTTGGAAAACATTGGTGTCTGATACTTTTGATGTTTTACATCTATTTTGGACAGTGGATTGAGCATCCAAGGATGCTGATACCACCACTTTCCAACTTTCAATGTATCAAGCAAAGTTTCAATTTGTGTGAGTCTCCTTTGATGCCTCTCCTTTTATATCTGAGAACCTTCATTTGGCTCAATATGCTGCTTTGGCTCAATTTGTTGCTTTTGCTGATTGTTTAGCACTCCTTGATTTATTTATGTTATTTTCTCCTTGTGTCT